ACCGGCTGCTCTGTGGGAGAAGGGTGGGTGGGCAATATGGAAGATTGGCTATGGGTCAGTTCTGATGGTACACAACAACTTATCCCTTAAATGTTGAAGGAATAGTTCACCCTTACTCACTTCACTTAGTTTTAAATTTTATGCTTGCTATATCTTAAGTATCATTTGCAGGGTATTTCCTGGGGTCTGTATCTCTTGACATGCGTCAAGTCTGCTGCCTCTTTTGTAAATAAAGTTTTTGAGCCGCAGCCATGGCCGTTCATTACAGTGCTAGTCTAATATTAGTAAAATACAAGAGAGAGTTGAATGGTTGGAACAGAGTATAAGGGTTTCAAAGCTCAAAAATATTCTCCGGCCTGTAAGAGTAAATGTTTGTTTATCCCTGCTTAAAATTCCTCAATTATTTTGTACATTCTACTTACCCTTTAGAAACCCTGGTGGCAGAATATTGAAGCGCCTGGATGTTAACCTAAATAAAGTTCAGCTCTGTGTGAGAAAGACCTGGCAGTTTGCTCTACCTGGGGTTCCAGCCTAGCAAACTGCATTGGACGGTTGTACTCTGTCCAAAAGGGGCCTTGTGGTTTAGAATGACTCTATTCACAACAGCTACTATTACCATATCTATTACTACTACTACTATTATTACGATTACTATTTATTGTAGTCTTCCTATCTGCCTTCCTATTTTTAATCATTCATTTTCTCAGATGTTATATTCTTTTTAACTTTACAGGAATGACAAAACGTTAGGTTGTTATTCTTAAATTACTAGCATTGAATATTTAAGCATCCTTTCTAATCCTATCTTGAGTTAACTAGTAAGACTTAGCAACTTAATGTTTTTTCCTCAAAGGCCTTGGTGGTGTAATGGTTAAGTGCTAAAGTGCTAACAGAATCGTTGATGGTTTGAATTCACAAGTAACTCCATCAGAGAAAAGTCCTGATGATCTACTCTCATATAGATTAAGCCTAGGAAATCCTGTGAGGTAATTCTAAGCTATTTAGAAGTCCACTGTGAGTCAGGATGGTCTCTGCAGTATATTTCTCAAGAACAGTATCCTGAAATGTTTTTTCTACTTTGGGAGTATAAAATATTGCAGATGTATTTCTTTTAAGCACATGTAACTGCTAACTGAAAAGTTAGAGGTTTGAACCCACCAGGAACGTGGTGGGAGAAAAGACCTTCTGCCCTTATCATGTTTACAGCCTAGAAAGACCCATGGGAGCTTTTCTGCCAACTATGACAAGTTCAGCTCCAGGGTTAGTCAGAAGAGGAATTGACTCGACAGCACAAAACAACAAAAGAACTG